TGTTTATATTGTAATTCACATAGGTTTTAATTTTTGATGTTATCGTTTAGGTTTTGTAAGTGAGTACACAGGTGATGTGAAAATGTTGATGTGATTCTAAGTCCCCATTCCATAGCTGACATTTCATTTTATTGATATCTTATTTCTCTGCCAAGTGCATGTTATATAGTATAGTAGGAAGATCCTGACAAAATAGGAAGAAAAGCTAGGTGACACATAAGAAAGGAAAGCCAAGTAGACATGCTGTTGGTGTAAGCGAGAGAGAGGCCTGGAACATGCAGCACCTGAGGCAGTGAGAGTTACAGCAAAGCTTATTTTTATGGTAGGGTTTTATTGGTATTTTCATTGTAGTTGATATAGGGATTTATTTCTGGTATTATCTTAGGTTTTGTAAGCATGATGTGAAAATGTTGATGTCTACTCTAAACATATAATGTGTATTAAGAAAAAAATAAGGATTTAATACTTTATTTTATTGTTATTTTATGTCCCCGTTAACTACATACCTTTTAGTATAATAAGCACCTCCTAACTAAATACCAAGACCAGTGAGATGTCAAGCATGCCCTACAGAAGACCAGGAAGCAAAACACATGTGATACATGTATATGGAACATACTATTGTCATGTGTGTAAACTGCCTTGGGTGTGATGACTAAAGTAAAGAATTATTTTGTAGAGAAGGGGATGTAGCTCAGTAATGTAGGGCCTGCCCAGCACGCACGAGGCCCTAGGTTTGATTCATGGTACCACACAAGAAAATAAATAAATATTTTTTTTGCAATGTGGTATTGGTATTTTTATTGTAGTTCAAATAAGAATTTATTTGTGTTGTTCTTTTTTAGATTTTGCACATCAAAAACCATCAATGTTGAACATGTTGATGCTTTTTAATAAGCAATAAATGTAAAAACCTCAATACATCATTTTTTGTGATTTTTTTCCTATTAAGTACTTACTATTTAATATAATAAAACAACTAACAATAATAATTTATTAATACAAGTATTCTAAAGGATAAATATGTGTCTGACAGACCCAATTTTTTGCTTCTTTATGACAAAATTAGTGTTATGCTCTACTGAAATTTTCTCTCCTGAGGGTAAAATTGCCATATTGAAAGCATACGTACAGTATACAATTTTTTTATTTGTTTTAGATTTTTGTTATAGAACTAAAAATATAGTTCGTATGGTTAAAGGTGGCAAATTAATAGTTACCACAATTTGTCATTTTTCTAGGCATGTTTGATGCTATTGTTATTGCTTATTATACTACTTTAGCCAAGATAATTGTCCCAATCAGTGGTTCTTCTGGAATGTCAAGACTGAGACTGTCTAAGGGTCATTAAATTATTACAGGCCAGCACCAAAGAACCAAGGCCTAAGGCTGTGGAGATAGCTCAGTGAAATAAGCGCCTGCCTGGCAAGCACAAGGTCCTGCTTCAATCCCTGGTATCACAAACAAACAAACCAAAAAACAACCAAGGCCTAGGGTAAGTAGGTAGCAACTTCTCATTCCCAATGAATTGAAGAGGTAGGATCTTGCAATAGACTCAGAACCCAAAAGCCAGCTACTCTGAAGACATCTCCGAGAAGTAGTCATTTCCTAAGGGTTCCAAAGACTAGCAATAAAGCTACCTGCCACACGCTATTTACAAGAATCAACCCAGGAATTCAACAACAAGAAAAGTAATAAGATATTTAAATAAGATGCAAACTCAGACTTCCAACTCACCAAAGGCAAAACTGGGGGGCAATGAGGTAGAACAATATGAAAGCCACTCACCTGGAAGTTCTGAAGTGGTAACAGTAGAAGTAACAAAGCAGATGACTGGGTCTCTAGGAAAAAGCAAGTCGGCAGTAATTTCTCAGATAATTTTAGAGATGGGACCAGAATGAAGCCATGGGGAGTGAGTTTAGAGCAGGTAGATATTCATAAAAAAGAGGTAAATGATGGAAATCATAAAGACCCAACATAAGAAAGAACTAGAGGGCCTGCGAGACAGCTCAGTGGTCTAAAGCGCCTGCTTAGGCAAGCTTACGCAGGTGCAGGGGACCACAGTTCAATCCCCAGCATCACATGCCACACCAGCTCCTCCTTCAGGTGGGCTGAGTGGGCTAAAAAAAAAAAAGTACTGGAATCCACGAAACAGATTCAAAAAGATAGCCAGGAGATTAAAAATCCCAAAAAAGTATAAAGTGAAAAATGAGCTAATGTGAAGACGCAACATCAGATACAGATGGCAGTGCTGTGGTTGGTGATCATGAAAACACAGATTTCTTAAAACTAGCAAGGGACCATGAAAAAATTGACCCAACAGCTGTCAGATGACGCAAAGAACAGTAACATAAGATTTACTTGGGTCAGTAAAAAAGCAGGACATAGCACAAAGGACCTAAGACAACTGTTCACAGATGTAATGGCAGAAAACTTCCCAAGTAAAAAAAGTCTTTTTTTGTATTTATGTTTTATTTTTACGTATTTGGTACAGGGTCTCACTACATACATTGGACTTGTAGTGATCCTCTTGTTTTCAGCCTTCCCAACACTGGGATTACAGGTATGCGCTACCATGACAGGTCTCAGTGGCCGGTTCAGTGTGCTTGGGGGTGAGGCTGGCGTGGCCTGTGGTGCTGGGGATCAAATCCCAGTCCCTGTGCTTGCCTAAGTAGATGATTAGTCCTCTGAACTATCTTGCTGGCTCTAAGAAAAAAATTTTGACATGCAGATAGTGAGGTGTATTACTGGGGTCCCCTGCTGTGAATCATCAATTTCCCAGAACCTGCTATGGTGCATAGCAAAAAAAAAAAAGAGCAAGAGATAAAATGGTGATGCAATGGGGATTGTGGGTGGGCGGTTGTTCACACAAAACAAAAGGCCATGAGGCAGCCAGAACCTCAGTATTTATAGATACTATTTACATTGAGGAAAGTGGTGAAGGAATCGTCACATGAATCAGAGGGCAGCAAGGTCTAATGCCGAGAAGGAATTTATGTTGATGAAGATCACTTTAGGTGACTCAGAGGGCAGCAGTGATGTTTTTATTTTTATTTTCTATATTATCATTATTTTTGAGACAGGGTCTTGCTGTGTAGCTCAGGTTGGTCTTGAGCTCATTTTGTAGCCCAGGCTGGTCTCAAACTTGCAATGGTCCTCCTGCCTCGGCCTCCTGAGTGCTGGAATGCCAGGCGTGCCCCACCAGGCCTGACTGGTAGCAGCGGTCTTAAGGTAATGAGGATCTTATGTTGATGTTACAACGGGGAGACACAGCAGGGTAATAAGAAGTTTGTCCTTTCCACCAGGTAAAGCTTTTTTTGTTTGTTTTTTGTACTACTATTCAGTTCTCCAGGAACCAAGAGGTCTTCTGCTGATATAATCTTGCCCTGGAGCACCACAGCTCTCAGGACTGCGAGGCCTCAACTGTGACTGGAGGCACACAGAGTTAAGGTCCTACATAGCATAGTTGGCATGCATGGGAAGATACAAGGCCTTGGACAAGCCCCAGTCACAATTCAATTATGAATTTATTTTCCCAGAAGCTTGTATAGAATGGCTTTCAGCTGCATATAGAACTCCAATTAGCAATGATAAAAACTACACTAAGGCATATAATAGTCAAGATTCTAGAAATTCAGTACAGGAACAGAATGTTAAAAACTATTAGAGAAAAGAAACAAATCACTTATAAAATAAAAGCCCATCAGAATCACAGCAGACTTCTCAACGCAATTGTTCTGGTCAAAGAAAGTTTGAAGTGAAGTATTTCAAGCCCTAAAAGAAAACAACCTTCATTCCAGACGAATATACCCCACAAAACTATCTTTCAAAATTGATGGAGAGATAAGATACTTCCATGACAAAGAACACCTGAAAACATGCATGACCACCAAACCAGCACTCCAAAATGTTCTCAGGCCATTCTAGAAAAGGAGAACAAGTTCTACACCTCCATGTACCCCAGCGGAATGAATACATCAGGTAAGGAGAGCAATTAAATGAAGAGAAAAAGAAGGGAACCAAAACCAGGAAATTGACATGACAAGGACAATTCAAAGTATATCAGTTATAACCATCAATGTTAATGGTCTCTGTCTTGGTTACTTTTCTCATTACTGAAGCAAGCCACTCACCCAAAGTAAAAGGAAGAAAGGTTCATTTAGTTCACAGTTGTGAAGTTTCAGTCCATAGTCTGCTTGTTCCAGTGTATGGTGGCATGGCAGAGGGGCAGTAGTTCACAGAGGGCAGAAAACAGACAAAAGCAACAAGGGAGGGGAGGAAAAAATCATATATATATATATATAATGTTATATATAATTTTTAAAAAAACTTATGGACGTGTCTACAGGGTGTTCAGGGTCTCACTACTAGATCAGACTCGTAGTGATCCACCTGTTAACAGCCTCCCAAGAGCTGGCATTACAGGCGCGCTCTACCATGCCCACTCTCAATTGCCATCTCTGCGCACCCTGGGGGCAGGGCTGGCACAACAGGCCCAGGGATTGACCCCCGGCCCCTGCGCCTGCTTGCAGGTGCTTTAATCCGCTGAGCTATTCGGCTGGCCCTTGTCCTTTGTACTGTGTGCGGGCTACGTACCCAAGGGAGAGTGTGGCCCTCAAACCCATAATGCAAGCACTAGACCATGCATCCGTCCCAAACTCTAGATTCAGCCACCTATCAAAGCTTGCCGCTCACGACTGTATGAAGCTTTGAGAGGACGTCTAGACACAAACTGTAGCATTCCTACCCCCAATCCTTCAAAGACTCATGCACCTTCCTTTATTCAAAAGGCAATGAGTCCACCTCTGAGAGTTGCCCAAGTCCTCAGTTTCAGCATAGCGGAGAAGTACAAGTATCATGTCTTCTTGAGACTTAAGACAAACTCTGAGATGTGAGCCTCTGTACACATGAAAAGAAAGTTCACCACTTTCCACATTCAATGGGACAAGACAGATAAATATTACAAATGGGGGACACATAGGAAAGGAACCAAAGCACACCCAAAATCCAGCAGAGGAGACATCAGGTCTTAGAGCTCCACGGGCAGCATCTAAGGCAATCTGTGGCACCATGTGGCCTCCAGCTGAACTTGCAGCGGTTGTAGCCGGCATGGCTCCTCCCCGGGGCCTGCTCCTCCCCTTCTTGCAGTTTTCTTCAGACAAACCCTGTGCCTGCCTCTCCATTCCCCTGGGCTCTCCACTGCCCCTTTGCTTGCACACTTACAGGGCACACAGCCAGGGCTCTCAGGCCTTTTTCTGAAACCAGGGTAGAAACCTTCCTGACTCTGCAAGTCTTGCATTCTGCATGCTCCTAAAAGCAGCGTCACATGGAGGATGCCAAGGTCTTCTGCCAGCTGAAGCAGTAGCCAGCTTTCTCTCTCTCGTCTGTAGGGGCTGAGTCCCTAGATTGCTGAGCACTTGGAACCGAATTCTAAGGAAGAAATCCTCTAGGCTGCTGTCATTGTGAAACATGGTGCAGTCGCCAGCACTCTGGGATGTGAGCTCTGGGGCTTTCTTCTCTAAGAAAGGCTTTCACTTTTGCAATTTTGCGACTGCAAAGGATGGAACCTTATTGTTCCATGTGATACCCTCAAGCCATCATTTTTATTTTCCTTTTTCTTCTTAGCAATCAGTATCTCTTTTGCTTAAAGATCTCCTCTTCCCACAGCAATAGATGCACACCCATGTTTCTAGCAGCACAGTTTGTAATACCCAAATCTGTGAAACGGTCTAGATGCCTATCAACCAATGAATGAATAGAGAAGATGTGGTATATAACGGAATACTATTCAGTCATAAAGGAAGATAGGTCTGAGATATTTCTAGGCAAATGAATTTACCTTGAGACCATACTCTTACCTGAAATAAATCAAACGAACACACATGCATAAATACTGCATTGTTTCTGGCAAGAAACTGAAAGGGTAAATAAGAAAGAAAATGTTGAATAGATATGGGAAATGGGAAGAAAATATTCCAATGCAAAGGGGAACGGGAGAGGGGGTGAGGGAAGTAGGGATGATAAAAAAGAAAAACATGAGCAAAGCTTTTACAAATAAAAAAGGAAAGAGGGGTTGAAGAGAGGGGAAGGGGGGAATGGGGAAAAAGAAGAATCAAGATATATCATGTACAGGTACAAATTCTTACAGTTAATGTGATCATTATGGATATCTAAAATGGACCAATAAAATAAAAG